ACGACTACGACTACGACTACGACTACGACTACGACTACGACTACGACTACGACTACGACTACTACTACTACAACTACTACTACTACTACTACTGCTACTACTACTACTACTACTACTACTACTACTCAGTTACTACTCCTGCTTAGTACCAGTTGTACTGCTACCAGTAGCTGGAGTACACTAGAAAAAAAGACTACTAGTACCAGCACTACTTTTAGTACCAGTTGTACTGCTACCAGTAGCTGGAGTACACTAGAAAAAAAGACTACTAGTACCAGCACTACTTTGTGTCGCTGAAGAAGTACTGGCACCAGTACAGACCGGAGCAATGATAAGCAGAAGTGGCAGCAGTAGACGCAGCAGCGTGTGCAGTCGTATTCGTAGTCATGGTCGCAGTCGCAGATGCCGTTGTCGTTCTTGTCGTTGTCGTCGCCGTCGCTGAAGAAGATGAGGATAAGTAACATCATCATGGTTACGAATGCTCCGAATGCTGGTCTTGCTTGAGACAGTGACTTGTTCGCTTCTGCGAGTCAAGCTTTGGTGGCGAATGGCTTTTTACGGACGAGGCGGAGCGGCATACGACGACTCAGCTCGAGGCCTTCTTCTGCTGTGTCGTCCTCTCGCAGACCAAATGGACAGAGCCGTAAGATCCTCGCAGACTGCTTAGACGCGAATGGCCACTGACAAGGATAAGCTTTGGCGCTGTCGCCGCCTTGCCCGAGTAATTGACGAGTCTCATATTTTCTCTCGATTTCATAATGACCTGTGACGCCGGACAAAGGCTGTTAGTCATAGTCAAACTGCGCGAAGGCGTACGGGCGGGGTGCATAAAACTGTGTCGAGATGCTTATCTCGTGAACCAGCTGGCTTCGAAAGTTGGATGGAACTTCCGGGACGTGATCGCGACCCTGTGCAGAGGTCGGCAGCCGGAAAGAGCTCCTGGAAGGAGAAATCGCCGCTGCTGCTTTCGCCGACAGGCTTTCCAGGACGCACAGGCTCCTCCGAAACCAGGGCATGCTCCGTCATCGAAGAGCCTCTCAATGCGCGTGCTGTGCTCAGCAAACCCTGCCATGACTCTCGATTTCCGCGGGCATACTTCCCACCTTTGGAGTGCACATAAAGGCTCTCTAATCAGCCCCTCAAAGATGAGGCAGCATTTGAGCCTGTAATTAGAGCTGGCACCCGGCACACCCGAGATCCCAAGAGCCACCGGGATTAACCTTTGGATAACGATGAAAAGCACCCCCTCAGCACTCATCAAGTGGGGCCATTTCTGCCTACTACGATGCCTTCTGCGTACTTGCATGCATGCATGACAAACCGATGATTGCTTCATCGGCTTGCCGGAAAACAGTGCGATATTCACACTGCCTTGGCAGTGGACGAGCATTTTCGCTACGAGTCCAACTGCGAAAGTGCATGTATGCAGGACGCATGTAGTGGGGTTTTGAAGCAGCTCTCAACGCACGCACATTCGCGGACGCGGCACTATATTGCAATGCCCAACTTGCGCTCCAGTTGGTTCCTGCATGGCACAGAGCTGAAGTAAGCACGACTCCATTGCTACTGCATCCAGCCTCTTATGATCATCCATAGAGCGCTTCTGTCGATCTATGTGCTCCGCTTTGATGACGTCGACATTCTCTCCCTGGGCAAGAGCACCATAACCGACAGATCACCGACCGATCCAAAACGCAAATGAAAAAGAACTGTTTTCCGCCGTCAACCATCGAGGGTCCAATCACCGTAGCGTTTCTGATTCGACTCGTGAGTGAGGACAGAAAGTGCGACGCCGGAAGACAAGACGTATCCCTGAACGACTGACCAGAAGACTCAAGCAACTGTAGTGACCAACACGAACAGTGCACGAACCACGAGAAAGAATTACACAACACAAAACTACTTCAGATGCCTCGTATGCTGGCCTTTCTCTCGAAACCTATACTGCATAAAGCCCCTAAACCCACTTCACTTGATGATTCCAGCAGCGTAACTAGGACAAGCAAGCAGCAACAGGCAAGAAACATACGCCTCACGGAAACACGCGGCAGAAACAAAATGAACGCCAAGCAATGAAAGGTGGAACCCGAAAAAGCAACAAAAGCAATAAGAACGCAAAACCAAGACGAGGCAAACAGCACATGGAAATACTGAAGGGCAGGAGTAAAAACGAAACAAGCATCAGACAAAAGCGAAAGCCAGAGATCAAGGAGCGAAAGGGAAACAAGCAAAATCAAAACAAGTAAACAAAAATAAGGAGGCAGGAAAGCAAAAGCAACACTACAAACGGTAGCCTATGCCAGAAGACATCCACAGAAAGCATAGCAAACCATAGCACATGCCAAAAAAATCAAAAGACACCAGAAGCGTAAAGTACAAGTGCAGAAGCAAAACGCAAGATGGCAGGGGAGTCGTGAGCAGGGGAGCAGGGAGGGCCGCCCTGACCCACGAAACCTGGCCCAAGGAGCTTTTCCAGCAAAAGGCCACCAACGCAGAAGGTCAAGTTTGAACGGGTGATAGACCGCATAAAAACTTGCTGTTCGAAAACTCACGTGCAAAGCATTGAAAACTGCTTCAGACGCGTTGGAAAACAACCCAGTTTTCTTTGATGGCTAGTCCAGCGAACTCCACACACCAAATCAAGATTGCTGCAGACAACCTCTACTGCAGACCCAAATCGGTCGCTTCCAGACGCTCGGGCCGGACTAAATTGGATCGGTCACGAAACTTTACATTCCAAAATGGCACACGAGTCCCTGATAAACCTTGCAGCAAACCAGCGCCAACAGCGCGTCCCTGAGCGCTGAACTCCCCGGGCCGGAGGCGGTCTCAGCGTGTCCAAATTTGGCGGTGGCTCGTTATGCAGTATCCAATGCCACAGGGCCTGCGAACAGGCGCACGGCATGAAGGTGAGAACCCAGAGCATGGACACACACTTTCTGCGTTCAGTCGCCGCCCGTCCTCACTTTGCATCAGCACCTTCATGTCTAACATGTGTTCAACATGACACGGATGACACAATCCAAAACAAGAGAGAGTGCAGAGCTGTGGAGACGCACATCTTCACATCGCCTGGGTGCGCTGTTGCATTCGCAATGTCTTGGATTCGCCCTGCTTCGCCTCATTGGCAGATTACGTTGTGCATCAGTCCAGAATTTGCCGCCGCCGGCACGAGCCTCCGCTAGACAGAGTTTGGAGAGACCGAAGGTCGTCACGCTCAGGTATTCTAGCTGCCGATGTATGGTATCCTGCAACTTGAGTCAAGCATCCTACTGTCATCTACGCTGCACGAGACCGGCAATGCCGCTGAGATCGACTGCGCAACAGGGACCATCAGTTGTCCTGGAGCTTGGCCAGCTCGTCTGCATCGATTCGATTCGCCTCGGGTGCTTTCTGCTCGGAGCTGGGGCAGCTGCGGCTCCCTTCGAACTTTCAACAGATGCGTCTCCGCCTTAAGCTGGTACATCTCGACTAGGTCAGCCTTGGGCGTTGGACACACAGCAGGGAAGAGTGGAGCTCTGCCTCCAGCACCTTGTCAGCCTTGAGGGCTACTTTCTGATTCAAGTCCTGGCATCAGAGATGTCAAAGCTCCTGCACATGTTGAGGGTCGACTGTCCTCAAACATTGGGCCATAGTCCGGGGGCCGGAATTCATCCAGCCGAGCGCTTTCTTGCTCAATGTACTCGTCAAACCTGCAGATGCACCCCGACGGCCCGAAGGCTCTCGACATCCGAAGGCGAAGGCACCTTTTGTTGAACTTCTGCAACTTGTCGTACATCCCATGAAACTCTTTCATGGCAGCTTCCTGAACTTGAAAGCTCTGCTCTCTGCCACCCTTCACAGTAACGGCGCCAGAGCCCCTGCCTTCTGCAGGCATTGCTCGATTCGAGAGTTGATGATGACGATGTCGTATTTCCCGGCCTCTGCTAGACGGTGGCCCGAAGGCGAAGGCTGGCCGCAAGGGTTTAAGGCCCCGCCTTGTCCAGGAGAACCTCATCCACGCGCTGAATGGCATCATCCTTCATGAAGAGAGGGAGAGAGAGAGAGAGAGCGAGCACGTTTAAGAAGGGAACCCACAGAAGCTTTCTTCTCTTCCAGCACAGGGCTCTCGTGTCCTGTTGCCCCAGCCGCCGATCGAATGCCTCGATGGACGCCACGCAGAACTTCAGCTTGGGCACACAATCCTGCGAGCACGTAGGCATGGCTGCCAGAAGCCAGTCATCGAGAAGGCGCTTCAAAGAACTCCTGTTGAAATGCATCAGTTTCTTTTCGAAGCGCATAGTTCCTTTTCACACGTCAAGTTCGTTGCTCTGAACGCATCATGCAGCAAACTCCCTTCACGCCCTTAGCGCACGACTGAAGACTGTTCTTCGTCTGCTGCAAGTCATCATACATTGCCTGACAAAAACAAGAGTGGCTCCTTCGACGATCTGGCGATCAGGCGACCACGGCAAGAACCAGCAGCCACACTAGAGCCACCGGCCCTTTGCTGCAGATCGTTGGCCAACTCGGAATACATGGAGGTGATGCGGTCGGACAGGCCTGGCAAATGTCTTGACCGACAAAGAGTGCGCTCACAAGTTAGATTTAACGCCTCGCAACTGGTCATTGTTGGAGGCATACACCTGGTCAAACCTGGGAGCAACAGCACAATGTGTTGCAGACTGCCAGAATGGAAGACTTGCTGTCGTGCACTAAAGACTGCTCTTTGATGTGGACGGCCAGCTCTTCTATCTGCAGGGGCATGTCTGTCAACACAGTGGCACATGGGAATTATCAGGCAGATCGTGGCGCACCCGCATCGTGGTTTGGGCAACTTTTGCATAGTTCTGCAGCTCATCGCCAACCCAGTCGCGAACTTCCTCGTCAGCAACAGCACTGCAACGGGCAAAGCAGGAAGCAGCACCGTCCTGCAGCTGCTGCTCCAGCTTTGCAGTCCGGGTATAGTCATCGAAGCGCGTCGAGAGCACCTTGACGATGCTTGGAACATTGCAGGACATCCTACGCTGACCGTTGCCCTACCGAAATCCTGGGCTCCTGGCTTTCATGTTCTCTGCTATCCGCTCCGCAACGTCGAGGGTGGCATAGTCACTGCAGCACAACTTGGGGTGGGTATTTCTGGATGAGACGGTGTGTAAATTCTTCTCCCTCTCTCACAGCCGGCCTCAGCGCATTGAGGATTTGCTGGTGCTCCAGCTTTGTGGTGTACCCCGCAAACTTGGCCTGCAATGTCATACGCTATTTTGGACGCGGTGCGATACCGGTTCGTGCTACGAGTACAGGAGATCCGGAAGGCTTTTTCCACTGGGAGGTCTCGCTTGGAGGGCCCGCACTGCAAGCAACTGCTCGCCACAGCCGCAAGGTTGGATCACTGCGCCTCAAACATGTTCAGCTCCGCCAAAGACACTTTGTCCAGGAGAGCATCTTGGGTCTCGCGGATAAGGCGGTCCTGGACAGCCTTCTCCTGCAGCCGGTGACAAGCTGCGGAAGGCAACACGTCCTCTGCATTGCATAACGCCTTAAATATGATATACCTGTCCTTGATGACCGTGTCGAGCTTTTTCTCCAACTGGGTCTGGGTTCCCTGGGACGAAGACTTGTTCGGTCACTTGGCAGACGTGACATCGCTCCTGTGCGAGCTTTCCCGACCCCTGACTTCAGCCCGGCCCTTCTTGGCCTTGAGTCTGTCGATCGCGTCCTCAGACGAGGTGACGTTCTCCTGAAAGTGATGTCTCAGACTGCTGTGCAACACTTCACAGACTTGCTCTTGCGCACCTTCGTGAGATACAGCTGCTCTTGCTGCTGCTCGATACGTTGGTTCAGCTCCGTCACCACCTGCGGCGGAACGCGACGTGTCGGGCACAGCGCACCCACGGAAGCAGTGCTCCGGTGCTTGCCTCGTCCAAGCCGGTGATGGTTGCACGCACCTGAGCGCGGAAACGTGCTAGTTCGGCCCAGTGCTTCGCCAAAAGCTCTCTGCCTCCAGCTCTCCCTTGAGGCTTTTGATCGTAGCATCGTTGCTTTCGTTATATGCCCTGGGACAGCTCTTTCGAACATGCTACTGCTCTCCAGCTCTCCAGCCACACAACGCCACACACTCTCGGGCTCAGTCTCCAGAGACTTGAACTTCCGGATGATGTGCCTTCCACGGCTTCGTAAGAAGTTGGCTTCGAGACCACAAAGCCAGGCAGCGGGCTTGACGACATGCTCCAAGTTGGCGAAGGAAATGAGGGAGCCAAGCTCCTTCAGATTTGGAAAACAGATGAAACCTGCATCGGATCAAGCCTTTCAGGTTTGCACAACACATGAAACCTGCATCGGATCTGCTGGCACACACGGTACATTGTACATGAAAACGACATATGTTTCGACTTCGCGCTGCGAGATCTCTGGAAGTGCAGGGCATTCAGCTCCTCCAGCTCATCCTGAAAGGCCCCGAGATCAAAGAATAAAAAGGCGGGAAACCAAAGCTTCCCTGCCGTCCCATTTTTCCCTAGGCTCCTCCGTCTCTGCAGGTTCATCTTCATCCAGAAAACCTGCACGACGTGTCGAGGAAGTGCAGGGTCAAGACTTGCCAGGTGCGCATCAGAAACTACGAGCCTATATCTGCCATCAAGGACCGCTGCGGTAGCTGTCGCAGAACTAGTTGTATCACATGCGTTGGGAGTTGATGCTGCTTGTCTGTACAAATTCGTGCATCTACATGGCATGCGGTGCATTGTACATGAAAGTGGCATATGCTGGTACTTCGTGCTGCGAGCTCTCTGGAGTTGCAGGACATTCATCGATTGTCCCGTTCCGAATTCACAAGTCCAGGCTTCGGTCCTGTTTTCCAAGCAGGCCTCCTCGAGCAGCCGCTGGCATTCTGGTCGCTGCATGTAAGTAGCTTCGGTGTAAGAGCACTTCTCGATTTGTTGCGTGCTGTTCCGACTTATCTAGACTCTCTACTACTCGTGCACCTTCTCTGACACTCTCGGAGAAATGCAGTCAGTGAGCCATGGAGGCGGAAGGCCAAGCTGATCTTCAGAACCTGGGCTTCAATGAAAGTGTTCAAGGAAGCCTCGACTCAGAATACGGCTAATATGGCAGCAGGATCACAGAAGTATTCTGCACCAAGTCGCTGAAGCCCGCCGCTGCGAGCTGCCTCCGCGACAGCCTGCAGCTCGTGGCATCTTGCAGAAGCTTTGCGGCCTTCTGACCCACTGCCTTGACACGTCCCTCATAGGGTTGGCCAGAACGGTCAAACACAACCATGGTGATGCCCTTCTCCAAGCCTGCGTCACACAAAGCTTCAGCCATTCTATGTAGCCGACCAGATTCCTGCTTTGTTGTTCTCGCGTGTCGCTGCATTTAGATGGGACCACATGCCGAGCGCAACCCATTCACTGGACGTTTCTAGGACACACCATTCCACGAGGCGCCCTGATTCGCCCAGCCGCCAGCTAATTCCACGCAGCCCTAATCATTACCTTCCCCAGTTCTCCTCCCCAACCAAGACCGCCATACCCACTGCCAATGCGCCGACCAGAACTCCTGCATCTCTCCCCGTTTACACCGGACCTCACGAGCCTCTGAACATGACACTCTGCAATTTGCTGTTGCACATCCGGTCATCTGCGGACCAGGCATTGCTTTGCAACTTCTGCTCCTGTCGCAAGCAGCCACAATCAAGCCTTTCCGAAGAGGCGTCGACGAGTCGAACCGTCACACCGGGTCCTATGATTTCCGCTGCGTCAACCGACCAGGTCTTCTCTTGTCCGGCATCGCAGCCTCGCAGGCACGCGCAGGCTCCCTGCAGTGTCCACGTGAAAAAGGCGGAAGCTTTGGGCGGCCTTGCTTGGAGCGGATCTGCTCAAGAGAGCCGGCCTGCTTGGAGGTCACCTTGACGTGACATCAACTTGGAACACTTCGCAACTGGAACGCCGTGAGCCTCGCCTGGATTAACGTTACACCAGTACCAATCGTGTCGTCGATGACGCTGGCATGCCTCGAAAGTCCCCGCATCCACGTCCCGCCCGCTGGAAATGTACGTAAGCTCAGCCGAAGACATGTGCATCTTTGATCGAAAGACAGTCAGTCTGGGCCGTGCAGTGTTGCCCTCGACCTGCACAAACGCCCAGTTGAAACTACACACAGACGAGTCAACCAGGTTCGAATAAATGGTTTTACACGCGTGTGTGTGTGTGTGTGTGTGTGTGTGTGTGGGTGTGGGGGGAGGGGGAAAAAATCCTGTTTCTAAGGACAATAAATCAGATGCAATAATATATAATTTGAAAGCAGATTGAGAATGCAGGGGGCTGGCAGCGGAAGCCGGCGGAATGGGTGGAAGGAGCTGTTGGACGCATAGCTCTGTAGCTGCAGAAAGTTTCACCGCCGAGATATATGTGTATGAATAGCCTTGAGCTCCTCTCTATAATCCAAAGAAGCTGTTACGTTTTGCATTTACACAAATCGTAATGTGCAATTTGATAAAAGGTCTCACAGGCTCTATAGTTCTAGCGAGTAGCTGATAGAAAAAGACAAAGAGATGGAAAAGGACAAAGAAAGAAGGCGAATACCGTCAACCGGCTTTGACCGGAAATATCCGTGTGTGTGTGTGTGTGTGAGGATGCGTGCCCGTGTGTGAGTGTGCATGTGTGTGTGTGTGTGTGTCTTCCCTGTTAATGGAAGGAGGAGGTCTCCTACGCACGTCATGTTTCTCGTTCATCGTTTTGCAGGGGGAACAGAGGGAGTCCGGAGTGGCTCTGCCACACTCCAGGCAAACGTCCCTGCCCTGCGTCCCAGCCTGGGCAGCTGGGGCGTGCTGCTCATTCATTTCATTTGGTGTGCCGGCTCCCATCCCCACGGATCATTCATCTGCTCCGTAAGCAATTCCTGGTGTCTGACATATGTGGTACCAAAAAATTGATCACATTTTTCGTTTTCACCACCACCACCACCACCATCATCATCATCATCATCATCATTATCATCATCATATCATCATCGTCATCACCATCATCATCACCATCATCCTAACCATCACCATCATCATCATCATCATCATCATCATCAGGTTTATCGTGTGACGTCCGTGCAGTTAGCTTGTGCACCAGCTCATCAACCAGTGTATCAGTAAAGTCCAGAGTCCAGGCGGGCTTGAGTAGCCTTTCATGAGACGAGCCCAAGTCAGGACGACTGCACCAGCCTTGCGACGAATGTGGATGCGCCTTCTGTAGCGGTGGACCCTTGGTAAACATGTCTGTCTAACGAATATATAAGAGCTGGCACAAAAAGCTCGCAAGGGCGGAGGCCAGCGAATGCGCTCCGTCCAGGTGTGCGGGGAGCCGTTCCAGCCAGGACCACCTTATCATGATGAGACTAAGCCAAGCCGTAGCATGTTGAGTCGTAGGTCAGCGTGACCAACAGAAATTACTGGGCCTGCCTTTGATGCGATATCCGAGACGTGGATGATCCCAGTCTGTTGGCTTGTTGGGTTTTCGTCCTCGGCTGCAAAGTACAATGTTGGGCAACAAGCTTCTGAACTTTCGATCCCAACAAGAAGCATCCCGGGCTCATGGCGTCCCCATTTTGCGGCACATGTAACTCTGGACACCAGCACAGGCAGTGTCAACACCGCACCTCAAAGACAACAGCTCCACACGGCTGGAACGAAGCACAGCTGGACAGGTACTTCGCGCGACTGCGAATGTAGGTCTCTTGCACAAGCCCAGGAAGCCGAAGCCACTTCTGTCCTTAGGCAGACGTCGCTTCAAGATGTACAGCGCCCGCATGTCTGCCAGCCGAGGTGCGCGAGAGTCCTTGAATGCATTCGAGGAGGTTTGTTGCAGAATCGCTTCACTGCAGCTCCCATGCCTGGCCTGTTTGGCAAGCTGCTGGACTGGCCGTGGCACTGCAGGCCTGCTGGCAACAGGCCTGACACGAACATGCTGGCCCCCACTAGACTCGCGAAGGTTGCCGGTGACATGCATCGGGATGCGGACCGCACAGATGAATGTGGCGCTGGCGCGAGAAAAGCAGGACTCGACAACGTCGGACCTCAGAGATGCAGCTTGTAACTCAGCCAGCCTTTCGCTTGCAATCGCTTGCAAGTCCAGAGGCCGAAGCCAGTTCCAATGCATCTGACTGCCAGCAGCACGCTGGCAGCGCCGGCCTGAGGGATCAAAAGGAACCCAGGCTGCCGGGGTTCCTTCCGCTCCAGAGCGACACACCCACACCCTCCCCAAGCGCCCCACAAGGGCGAGAGCCAAACGGGCCTTGGCGTTTTTGCAACGGGCTCTCCCACTTGACACTTGACTAATCCTCGGGGCATCGGCCATGCCTAACCCAACTCGGGAAAGGAGGGACCGGTCTGCTCCAGTGAGCCTGGAGCCTAGAAAGAGCCAATGCACAACCGCATGCATGCGCACGCAAGCGAGCAGTCTTGCCAGGCCAATGAGCAACAGTCAAGACAAGCGCAAAAGAAACGCAGGAAACCTTTTCTGGGTTCTCCGAATGCACATTAGCTGCGAGCCCTTCTTGGGCACGTGGGACCTACTGTCACTGACTAGAACTGGGCAGGAGCTGAGGAAAACGATCTCAAGCCTGCAGCGACCAGTTGCGTACTCTGCCGGTGCACGATTTTCGATGGCGACATGCCCGGACCGCTGCATTGCTCGCGCCTAGGAGCTGCGGAGCGGAGTACACTCGACGCATTGCAACCTCAGATAAGAGGGAGCAGAGCTGAGCAGAGGCAGACAGCAGAGAGTCTCTGCAAAATGAACCCCGAGTCCTGGACGGAAGTTCTCGGACACGGTATGCCCGGCATCACTTGGGTGGCCTGCAGGGCTCTTCCAGCGCTCTCTCTGGCGACTTGGATACCGATCCCAGCCTCTTGGCCGAGATGCCCGGCGGATGCGCTCATCGATCCCTGATGCCAATTCCCAAATCAAATCAAGTCCCACCAACTCGCAATGTCTCCCGCCCGCGAGGCTGACGGTGCTGGCCTCGCTGGACACACGACAACTCAGAACTGCCACAGCTACGGCTGAGGCTGCAGCACGACCAGCAGTGAAACATACTGCTGTGGTACAGCAGGTCCTTCCGTGGCTGCGTGGGTGAGTTTGCAGTTCGTTGCCAAGCACTGTCAGTCCTCGTGCGGTTTGCAATGTGCTGTGAGTGTGCGTCATTTGCACTGCCGGGGCCTGGCGCCGCAAACGGTGACTTCGAGTCAGCTCAACGAATGTAGCCAAGATCGGCTGAGTGATTCGGCTATCCTAACCCTAACCCGAAACCGAAGGTGAACTCCAACATACCCTGCTCTGACGCACGAAGTTGAAAGTCCTGACCCCAGGCCGAGGTATCTGGAAGGCCGCCCACAGTCCCTTTGTCGCTTAACACCCTTCTACGACTACGAGAATGCCCACAACACAAACCCGCCAAACCCTAGCATGCGAGACTCTCAGTGCCTGCGAGCATCCTTGAACGACAGGGATAAACCTCCCTGTGCCTGCAAGGGTCCACGCATGTGAAGCGCAAAATGCACTGGCGCGGCAAACTACACGGTCGCTCTTGGTGGCACGGTGCGGACCGTGCAGCCCGGAAAAACCGTAAGTGAAAGCCCAAGACCAAGACCGAGCGAAATGGTGATGCATCTCACGTCTTTTCTCCCATCAACGTCATGTGAGCCTGTGCGGGGAGGAAGGCCGACTGCAGGTATGCCTGCATGGGGGCTTTGGGCTTTCGCAGCCAGGCTGGAAATGCTTCCAAGCCCACCCTGGAAGTGAGAGGGGCCTGTCTGTTCTGGCAATATCATCGGTGCGCCGGCAGGACTTCTTCAGCGATGTGACGTCCTCTGCAAGGTCTTTATCAACCCTCTCACCAAGATCAGGAGAGTTCTGGCCAAAGATCACCTGTTCGCCAAATCCGCGGTCCGAGGTGTCAGCCTTGAGCTAGAAGCTTGTTTAGTGCCTCCTCTGTCTTATCAGCATCCAGGCCTGTGATGTCTGACGTGTGCACGAAATTTTGCGATCTGAGCCGAGGGTTCATCCTTAATAGATCCATGTCATCGATCGCAATCCATGCATGCACGTGCTCGGACTTGGCCGCTCTCATCTCGAGCCACAGCAGGATTTCATCAACTCGGTCGCCCTTCGCGGATTTCTCCAGGTCGGGCGTGGAGCCATTGACAGATAGACCATACTGCAGAAAGAGATTCTCCAGCTGAGTTCTCTTGTGGTCAACCAAGCGCCAAGTAGAGGATAGGATTATCTTGGACTGGGTGTTGTCAATCAGAAACTTGAGATGCTCCATGATTTCCGTGGGAGGCACATCACTGTTTGCAGCTTCTCGGGATGTACGGCTGTTGAGCACACCATCCACGTCCAAGAATATGACTCTAGTTTGGCCAGCTAGTGCAGCTGTTGCCACGGAGATCAGGTCCTCTTCCTCTTCGGGGGAGGAGCCCGGCTTTGCTTCAGCACCAGCTACACCGCTGAAGTCGGTAGACGCCGTCACCTCGCTGCCGAGTTGCGCTGGGAGCGGCGGCAGCGGAGGAGGAGCTTTGCCTCGTATGTGGCGAATTACGTCCTGTCTTTCCATGGCCCTCGACGTGAAACAGTGACCCAGATGCGAAGAGCTACAAAGACTCTAGCCGAAAGGAAGGAGAATCACGAAGACTGAGACTGATCATGTAGGTTCGAGGAACTGGCTCGCCATGCCCACATCACTCAAGAAGGCTCAAGGTCAGCACCGTGAAGTGCAGCACGTGCTGGGGAGATCTGGACCGGGGTCGCCTGTGACAGCGCGGACAAGAGAAGAGTGCTCGGAAGCTATCACAAGTCCACGACCTTGGGACTGTCTGTTTGCCGGATGGATGTGCTTGACCTGGATTCGGTTTAAGCAAGGGACTCACGGTCAAGCTGCAGACCCCGAGCGCAGGACAGCGGCTGACTTCGAGGGATGGTGCCGCTGGCCTTGCAACATGGCAGGCTCATACACGCGTGCTTCAAGTCCGCGCTCGCACTGTCGCTGCTCGGGTCGAAGGAAGCCGTACCTCTGCGGCACCGACCCGGTCTTCCAACAGGCGGCAATGCACCTCGAGATTGTCAGCGCCAAGCCTTCTGACTCCAGTTTGCCCCACGCAAGCTCAGCTCGGGTGCAGCACATCTAACCGCCGGCATTGCGATTCCAGAAAACGGCACTCATCAAACCTTGGCATTGCACCACTCGGTGAGCCGTAAGCAAAGACTGTTGAAACCAAGCCTGCGCTGGTACTCCTGCTGCATCGGTTCGAGCTGAGACTTTAAGTCCTGCATCATCAAAGCTTCAGGAAAACGAAGGAAAGACCACGAAGCGCATCTGTTCATCGACAGACCTTGTAGATCTCTCCAACACTCTCCAGCTGCTTGCTGAGATTGTGAACCTACCAACGACAACTGGCAAGCGGCAATTTCCAAGTGTGTCATCCAATGTATGTGCTCGTGCATGAAACTGCAGCGTCGGGCGTGAGCCGATCAGATTTGCAATGCAACTGCATGTTTGCACCAGGCCACCGTGCTCTATGGAAATCCTCATGGACTATTAACTGTGCCCTATGCTGCGCGGCTTGGACTGACAGTGCCCTGCCTGCCAAGACATGTCAGCTTAACGTTGAGATTCTTGACCACCTTTTTTTTGAGTGCCGTTTTCCTGATTTTTCCTCAGCTCCGAAGAGTCCTGGAACCGCCAGTTGGCAGAGACTTGTTAGACCCAAGCTCAGGGTTTTGAAGTGCGTAAGCATCGTTCCACGACGTCGAAAAAGCTTTCGCGTCGTGCGGAGCTGATCTGGCCGCTGGTCTTTCTTTCGCCAGGGTTGTGGTGCAGGGGGTTTCCCCCCCCTCTCTGTCTCTTTCTCCATCTCTCAATCCACCCTTCTCGCCGCAGCCAGTCCCATGACTCATGAGCAAAAGTGAGGTCTCTGAGGTCCCCCGACAAAATTTGCGAAAGCGGGTGAAAGCATCCAAGACCTGGCCTGCTGAATGGCCAGCTGCAGCTTCTCACCTCGGGCCCAAGCCACGTGCCGGAACCCTGCCGAAGCGTCTGGATTCTGTCTTGGCAAGCGGCTCGGGGAGGCCGGGTTCGGGACCATTTTATCACTGCCTGAGAACGGAAACACGGCAGATTTTGGGAAATCCGACGTCTAGCGCGTCACCACGAGAGGCCTTGGCTCCGAGGGCTTAGTTCGGGCTCCTGCGAATCTGGCCTTAGGTCTTGCGAGAGTCGAAGGCGAGCTGCATGGCCTGGGCCTACACGCTCTGCAAACAAAGTACCCGACGCTTCCACGATTCTGTGCAACTGCATCGTGGATTTCATCCGCTGCAAGCGTGAACCTGAGCAGAATGCCACAGGTCTGACCGGAGAAGGTACTCGTGCTAAGCTGAGGAAGACTGTCCGCGGAGTCTTTCCGAAACCGGCCCCCCCCCCCCGCAAAACTCTCGAGCACTGCAGCTGCAGAGCAGTGCTTGCGAAGTCTGCAAAGGAATCAATCATCCCTGACCACCCCTTTGACCACCCCTTTACCCACTGTTACTACACCGTTACCCGCTGTTACTATCCCGTTACCCGCTGTTACTTGGAAGGCTGTGCCGAGGATGGATGTGACTACGGCACGTCTACAAAGCCGCGTGACCGGCGAAGACTTCGTCTCGATGCGCCAAGGTACCGGCTCAGAGTTGAAAGACTGTGCTCGGTAGAAGTGGATCGTTGCAAGTGGCTGAAAGATTGACTGACAGGAATGGTGCGTCCCAAGCTGAGTTCTGCACCGGCAAGACCTGGTCCACAAGAGTGAGCCTGCCCATTTGGTGCTCTGGCAGACCTGAGCACAGTGTTCTGACGGATGTAGGAAAGAAAAAAAGAGTTGCAAGCGAATCATAGTACGATCTGGAGAAGTCTGGCAGGCTGAGAATTCCACCCGAAAGGCTGCCGGCCCGAAGCTTGACTCTCGCCGGGCAGAGATCGCATAAGCGACAAAAACACCTTGGCTACAAGTGAGTCAGAATCATGCCCCGTGCGTGCTTTCAAGAGCTTCGAGTTCATGAGATTCGGCGGCTTAGGAAGCTCAAGTATCTGGCTGGGACCTGAGATCATTACCTTCGAAGCTGCCCAGTGCATGAAGATTTCCAGTGAAGTCGAGGTGCATCCCTCTCGTCCATGCCGTCATGCCTCCGTCTCAAACCTGACTTTCCGACACTGCAAACTTCACAAAACGGACAAGATGTAGCTCCCAGATTTCTGGGTGTCGCACCATCTCCAAGGCCAACCTGCCAAGCTCACCGAGTGCTGAAGACCACGACTCCATTTTGCCCGTTTCAACTTCTGAAGATTCCAAGATCACCCCGTGAATCATGACATTGACTCGCCGATCAGCATAATCAGTGCCGAAGCTTCAAACTGAATGCACCGCAGTCCACAAGAGGCATAGCAGAAATAAGTCTGTTTGGAGCAGATGCGCAGATGCTTCAAAAGTTTTGCACGTGGAGCCCAGATCACCTTGTTCGTTCTGAGTTTCTGATTGAGGATGCGAGTCTTTACCATTTCATCTTTCTTCGCTCAATCGCCTGTAGGGCTAAGTCGATGCATAACCAAGAAGAGGGCCACGAAAGCTAGGCAACACGAGCAGCCAAGGCATGTCGATGAAGATGCGGTGCACTAAAACGCAGTCGCCGGGATGAGAAGCCTGCATTGTTTGCAGGACCTTTGTGCGATCTTCTCTTGCACAGACTTCCTCTTACGGGGTAGGCACATACACGCAGACACGAGAGAAACGAAAACTCATCAAAACAGCATCATTCGCACATCTCTGTGTCCAACTCCATTTACAGCGTTGCAGACAGCCATGATCCGGACGCTGAGGATCCGTATGGACAACGCCACCATCAGTTGGGTCACTTGACAGAGTCCGGACTCCTGCCCCTCTCATTGGAGCAACCCAAGTCTTTCGCGGACTTTGAAAAGTCACGGGTAAGCCTCGGGACAACGTAGAGGCTGGTGAAGCACTACAGCATCCTGCGAGGCCAAACAGTGAAGCTTTGGGTTTTTTACGCCTGTTGTGCTCGCCTCCTGGTGTCTTTTACAGGTTCATCGCACATTCCATGGCTGTTTGTGTCCAAGATGCTTTATGGCTTGCTTGCATGGTGTCTGCCTTCTCGACTGAGTCAGTGATTGAGTGGGTGAGTGAGTGGGTGGGTCGTGTACCCTGATTCTGATGATTCTGAGGGTGCTTGCAAGATCTTGCAAGTGGATCGAGCGAATCGCACATGCCAGAATCGCGGGGATCCAAAGCAGCAAAAGGACCGAAAGGGGACAGAGTGCAGGCATTCCCCTGCACATTACGGGAGCCGGTTGAAGGCCTATGAACCGAAGTGTCGTCGCCGAAAGAGTTTAGGACAGAGCAGATCACATGATACTCACGAGCACAGCATACGTACTACATCACGCACCAGCACAGAAAAGATGCTCAGAAAATTCTATGAATTCTTCATGCAATGCAAAGCCAAGAAACGCCAATATCATGCTATGTCTCACACATTGTCACATCCGACTTAACTGCCCGCGAGGTCTGCACACAAACGAACACCCCAATGGAGCCAACATGCTGCCATCGAGAGCAGAAGCAGGACAGCAGCTGTGAAGCTTCGAACCAATAAAGCAACACATGCTGTGAGGTGAACTTCTCGGACCTCTTCCGAGCCGACAAAGAGCTCACCGCAGCCACCTTTGGCAAGCATGGCCTGCAGCATGCGTTTCCGTATCTCGCAGCCACATTCTTATCTGCAGTGATTTTTGGACGTGAACGCACCTCTGCATGCTGCAAGGCTTCGGTGGCTCCCTGAAGAGCCTTCAGAAGGTTCATGTCACTGTGACTACCAACTGTGAAGTCATGCACCTCCTCAAGGTCATGAGGGTCGACCTCCACCTGGCATTTTCGGAGATCCAACGAAGGGCGCTGTTGAAACATGACGCGACCCCTGCCACCTCCGTGTCAGGACTGCCCATCCCATCCACTTGAACGAAGCGGTTGTGTCCTCGCACGATCTGATAGCTCTCTGCTGTCAATGGTAGATGTCTTCCGTTTCTTTCTGTCGGGGCCTTCATAGAGCAAAGCGCTCGGAAGAAGGTCGCTCTACACGGAAACGGGACACTGACAAAGAACTTCGACAAAAAACGGTTGCAAAACCCGTTCAAAATCTTTGTTGGGCTCCCTCGTGAGCAAGGCCCTCCAGGTCTCTGTGTCTCTGTGGGTTCCTTTTCAAAGGCCCGGGCCGTCCCGGGCTTCTGCTGCGCTTGCGCGCCACTTACTCTCTTTCTTCCGTTCGCTCTCTCTCTCGCACTCCACGGTCCTTGGAAACTTTTGGCCTTGCTTTGCAGACCAGTACGAAAATGGCGTCGCAGCGTGTCCTTTCTTAGCAAACTTGCTATAGCCAGCGCAGCAAGTTCTGCCGCGTCTTCTATTGCGTCCTCCATGCTGTTTTTCACACGGAAGAGCTCCTGGACCTTAACTGCTCACACGCTGGCGAGAGGCTCTAACCTGACAAGCTGTTGAGGAACAGGTCGTGTGCTGGGCCTGCCGTGACATGGCTGGGATGAAGGAGGTGACATCTGCACCTCTGCACCATCCAGAGAAAAATAGTCCAGTGCTTCAGCTCTGCAAATGGCCTTGTGCGGCGTGCTCGGAACATCGTGGACCGGCATCGCGAGACTGCGGCACGCATGGTGGAGCACACGGCCAAGGCTTTGGATTTCCGAACTTAGCGAGCCTCATGTATCCTGGAATCATCCGAATCCTCACCAGAGTCAGAGCTGAGGTGCGTCACTTCCTCAAAGGCTCAGCGTCGTGTCTGGGATTGGTCAGAATTGGTCGTGACACAGCTTGGACATCGATGCACAAGCGGCACTAGCGCCTCAATGCCTGGAAACTGCTTCAAGGCCAAGCGCTGGCCTGGTACCAAAAAGCATCCGAAAGGCGTCCAAGCGGGCAGCGCCTGCCTTCTCCACCCTTGCGCGTAGTCTCTGCTTCGCCGTCCTGAACGCAGAAAGCAGAAATCACCTCACCTTGCCTCTACTCTTCCTGGCACCGGGGCACCTCCCCTGAACTGAGTAGTCGCGACGTCGTGCGGGCCAACGACATATCCTTCGTCGCAGCATGCCGCCGATAGGATGGTGGCTACCCCCGAATCCCGAAAAGGCGACGACTGCCTAAAACTTGGCATGCGCGCCTTTCGCCGCCGCGGAAGCTATATCGGTGGTGTTTGGAAGGGCGTCGAACGCAAATGAATACGGAAGTGGTGCAAACAATAGCAGGCGCGCTGAATTCGAGATGTTGCATCAAAAGGGACCACATTGGCATGCATGGAAAAGTGTGGCAGGCGTGTGTCAAGAGGCATTTTTCAACACTTGTGCTTAAGTGCAAAACCTGGTTGAAGACACAACATCCTTTAGAAAAGCAGGAATTCATCGGCCTGCGTGGGGCTTCGTGGCATTGGCAAAATTGTGGATTTTCAGCAGTGTGTGTCTGGAACACGAAAGCGCGGTGCGAAAATATGTAGAACAAGAAGCTGGCGAAAAGTTGCTTTTAATTTCTTTTTTCTTGGGGTGACGCAGGCAAAGGTTCAGGTCGAGGTCTTTGTGGCTTGGGGTTTGCAAGTTGGGGTTGAGGGCGGCGGCTGTTTCTGGAGAACACGTGACACATCCTCACACGCCTGCGGGGTCACGCTCTCCATGTCGCAGCAAAAAGCTTCGGACGTCTGTTGCCTTTGACCGCAGATGGGCCGGCAAGTCAGGCATTCGGCGCAAAGGCAGAGAGACATGATGAAAACATTTACGCATTCCGTTGGGGAATCTCTTCCAAAACTGGCTGCACATGAGCCGCAATTGGTCCTTCCACCTAGGACTGAGTGCCACAGGTTTGCAAGTTGTTGTAAGAAGCATGGTTTTGCGTATCACGTCGAAAATTTACAGGACAAGGAAAGCCGCTGCCATGGATCGAACAAAATTCGGGCCACTCCCATGATGTGGGGTTGGAGAGCATAGCCACATTTCGCGCGGGACGCCCTCCGTGTAGGTGCGCTTCTGACCGCGCAGGCGCGGACACTGGAACTGCAGCTTGCTGTCGTGGGTACGACATTTCTGACACTTTTGCGGAAGCTTCAACAAGCCTTTGCGACGAGCATCGTCCCATTTGCGCTGCATGACATGCACCTGGGCCTCAACAGAGAGGCGGGGTCCTGCTGCTGGTAGCAGGAACCTTGACACACGACTTCAGGCGAGGTCGGCGCAGAGGCCGCTGTCGAGTAGGTCCAGTGTACTGCGCACGTCGCTGCGTAGCCAACTGACCAAAATTTCTGGGACCCAACCGGCTTTTCTTCCGTCCCGTCCGCTTCGAAAGAGCACCCCATGCTCCTCTTCCTCTCGGAGGCATCTCCCGGTACAGCTTGGCGCCAGGGAGTGCCCAGCTGCGAGCATCCGCCAGAAAGCGACAGTACCTAGCCCCACAATCCGTACCATCCCATCCAAAAGTTCCGCGACGACATCGGAGCTCGACAAGAGGTCGCATAGTGCGAATGCGATCGATTCGCCCACTGGTACCTCTAAGGCAAAATCTAGTCTCATCCCAGCGCTGCCACCACCAAGATCGGAGGCTTCCGCGAAGGCTGTGGCGGAGCCGTAATCCAGCGGCATGCCGGTGGGCAAGATCAGGCAACTGGATATCAACTCCTTCATGGGTGCGAACAACATCCCGTCTAATCCAGTCCCAAAAGAGGAAGGAAAAGGTTCTGCGAATCAATCGGGCGAAGCTGACAGCGGCAGGAAAGCACAGGCCCTGGTCGAAGGCAGTGAACAACATGTCCAAACGATGCAAGTGCTCATCAGCAAGCGAACGGAACTGGTGGAAGGACAGACCATCAAGCCCTGCGGCAGACTTGCGAACCTGAGCCCAAGAAGATGGTAGTGCCAGGCCGCTGACCATCATGGCTGTGGCTTACCGAATGTGGTCCGCCCGGGCGGCTAGCCTTCTTTGCGCTTGGTCCTCGTGGTTCCCCAGCGAGTTTGTGGGTGGTCGCAGTAAGGCTCCCCCGGCGGTTGATACTGGCAACGAAGTTGCCGCCAGACTCTCTGTTGCCTTTGCCGAGGGGCAGCAACTTGCTGGAGTTTGCTTGGATACTCTCAAATGTTTTGATAGTGTCAGTCTGCACAGCTTGAGCGTCCTTCTCCACAGCGTGGGGGCTCCCGCCGTCATGTTCAATGTGTTGGATCTGTGGGTCTCTCTGTGCCGGCATGTCTGGACTATCGACGGGCCCACAGGGGTTTGCATTAGCTCTCCTAGCTTGAAATGTTTGCCGCAAGGAGACCCCTTGGCGCCTTGGAGCCTGAACCTCGTGATGGCTGTTTGGTCTGGATGATATGGAACATTCCCGCCCTTGACCTTACTCGCGTCTTTCTAGATGACCGCTGCCTCCTCCACTGTGAAGTTGGCCCTTTGGCTGCAGCCCTGGCTGTGACTGCCGCTTTTGACTCTGCTTTCGGTATGCAAATTCATCCCCGGAAATCCTGTCGCTTCTTTGTTGGGGAACCTCAGGTAGTGATCCAACCGGCAACTGGATTTTTTCAAGATCGTCATTAAGTATCTTGGAGTCCAGCTTGGGACTGACCCTGGTGCCAGGTTCGCTCTGGGTAACATCTGTGTTTCCCAGGTCCGTTCCAAGGTTCTGCTTGCTATAGGCTCCTCCCCGTTCCGGAAGTCCGCCGAGGATTGCTTGTGTCTTACCTTCAAGGTCTGTACGCTGAAGGCGTTGGTGCTACTCAGCGAGTCGTCGATCAACTGACCACCGCGGTCGTGCAGGCATGGTGGGGTCCAACCTTGCACACACAAAATCACATGCGCAGCGTTGCCCTCAGTCTGGGGTTGCTTGTCTGTGCATTGGCCAAGGCTGGTCTGTCTTGATTGCCCTGAGCCGCCTTCTTGGCCGTGCCGGGTCTCTCGTCACTGACCTCTGGAGGCGTGGGCTCGCGTTCGGTTGGTGTGCAATGCTTCTGAGGCATGACTGCGGAACCCCGAAAACGGTGCTAGGCACCCTGCTCAAGCGGACTGTTCATGAGACCGACAATTGAAGCTCGAAACTGGAACTGCTTCTATGTCAAGCGTCGACTAGTAAAGGTGTGGAAAGGCCCGCACTACCAAGTGGCAGCACAGGAACATAGGGTTTGGGGCTTAGGTCCTCAAGACTAGGCATAAAGTTGAGAGTAGTCTTCGGACTGGCATCAGGTTTCAGCTTTGGGGTTCGGCGCTTAGGGTGTAGGGCTTTGGGTGTAGGGTTTAGGGGGTTCATATTTGGATACAATGATGCTGAATACAAGTCTGCACGGAGCGCAATAGTTCCGCACATGGATGCTTTGTGGAAACGGGCGCATGGATGCTTTGTGGAAACGCGCGGAGTCTATGTGGACGTTAACATGGTCGGCACATAAATGCTTTGTGGAAACAGACGGAAACTTTGTGGAAACGGACGGAATCTTTGTGGACGTCAACATGGTTGGCACACGGATGCTTTGTGGGAACGCACGGAGACTTTGCGGACACTAACATGGTTGGCACATGGATGGAAACGCACACATGGATGCTGTGTGGAAACGGACGGAGTCTTTGTGGACGTTAACATGGTCGGCACATAAATGCTTTGTGGAAACGGACGGAGACTTTGTGGACATTAACATGGTTGGCATATAAATGCTTTGTGGGAAAGCGCGGAGTCTTTGTGGACATTAACATGGTCGGCACATAAATGCTTTGTGGAAACAGACGGAAACTTTGTGNNNNAAACGGACGGAGTCTTTGTCATCCTGATGTGCAATAACCATGTAAGCGGACACATTCCAGCAAAAGTCCGCAAGGAATGCCGACACGCAGAAGCAGTCCGCAGGCGTAGAAAACACTGTAAATACCACAGGATTCGACACTTCCGCACGCAATT